GTTTATTTTGTTTAATTTTGATGATTACAAATGACAACAAATGAAAATCTCAAATTCATCATATCAGAAAATTAGAATATTACTGAAGACCAATAAAAACAAAGGATTTATAGAAATGTTGGCCAACTGAAAAGTATGAACATGAAAAGTATGAGCATGTACAGCACTCAGTATTTAGTTGGGCCTCCTTTGGCCTGTATTACTGCAGCAATGCGGCGTGGCATGGAGTCGATCAGTCTGTGGCACTGCTCAGGTGTTATGATAGCCCAGGTTGCTCTAATAGTGGCTTTTAGCTCTTCTGAATTGTTGGGTCTGGTGTATTGCATCTTCTTCTTCACAATACCCCATAGATTTTCTATGGGGTTAAGGTCAGGAGAGTTTGCTGGCCAATTAATAACAGGGATACCATGGTCCTTCAACCAGGTACTGGTAGCTTTGGCACTGTGTGCAGGTGCCAAGTCCTGTTGGAAAATGAAATCTGCATCTCCAAAAAGTTGGTCAGCTGCAGGAAGCATGAAGTGCTCTAAAACTTCCTGGTATGTGGCTGCGTTGACCCTGGACCTCAGAAAACACAATGGACCAACACCAGCAGATGACATGGCACCCCAAACCATCACTGACTGTGGAAACTTTACACTGGACTTCAAGCAACGTGGATGAAGTGCCTCTCTTCTTTTCCTCCAGACTCTGGGACCTTGATTTCCAAAGGAAATGCAAAATTTACTTTCATCAGAGAACATGACTTTGGACCACTCACCAGCAGTCCAGTCCTGTTTCTCTTTAGCCCAGGCAAGACGCTTCTGACGCTGTCTGTGGTTCAAGAGTGGCTTGACACAAGGAATGCGACAGCAGAAACCCATGTCTTTCATACGTCTGTGTGTGGTGGTTCTTGAAGCACTCACTCCAGCTGCAGTCCACTCTTTGTGAATCTCCCCCACATTTTTGAATGGGTTTTGTTTCACAATCCTCTCCAGGGTGCGGTTATCTCTCTTGCTTGTACACTTTTTTCGACCACATCTTTTCCTTCCCTTCGCCTTTCTATTAATGTGCTTGGACACTGAGCTCTGTGAACAGCCAGCCTCTTTAGCGATGACCTTTTGTGTCTTGCCCTCCTTGTGCAAGGTGTCGATGGTCGTCTTTTGGACAACTGTCAAGTCAGCAGTCTTCCCCATGATTGTGTAGCCTATAGAACTAGACTGAAAGACCATTTAAAGGCTTTTGCAGGTGGTTTGAGTTAATTAGCTGATTAGAGTGTGGCACCAGGGGCCATCAATTTTGAACCTTTTCACAATATTCTAATTTTCTGATATGATGAATTTGAGATTTTCATTTGTTGTCATTTGTAATCATCAAAATTAAACAAAATAAACATCTGAAATATATGAGTTTGTATGTAATGTATGAATATAATATACAAGTTTCACTTTTTAAATGGAATTACTGAAATCAATCTACTTTTTCATGATATTCTAATTTTATGACCAGCACCTGTAGGGACCCCTTTTTCATCATTCTATCTCTATTCTCCCACTCTGCAGAATCTGTTAGTTCAATCTCTAACGTTCTGCTCTCTCTGAGAAATATCAGCTGTGCTGCTGCCATCAACACCTTTGTTTATGGATGTTCAAGCTTGGCCTGTTTTTCATTGTAGTTTTGCTTCTCTGACTATGATTTGCTGGATGTGCTCTCCTAATCCTCTGACACGGAAGCTGGCTCGGAGCTTGTCTTCCTGGCTGCAGACCCCTGGATGGGGCCGCCTCTGGAGCTGGTTGACAGTTGCCTTTTGTATCTATGCTTATTTTTCCATGCCTGCTTCTGTGTCCTTGAACCCCAGTGGGCGTCAGCAGATGGCTGCTCACACTTAGTGTGGATCTGGTGGAGGTTTCTTCCTGTTAAAAGGTAATTTTTCTCCTCCACTGTCGCTACAAGCATGCTTAGTGTGAGGGATTGCTGAAGAGTCAATGAGTCAGTCGGTGCAATCAATTGGTTTTCCTTATATAGAAAACTGAAACAATTTGACTGTAAATTCTGGTTGAATTGTAAAGTGCCTTGAGATTACATTTTGTAAAATTGGCGCTAAATAGATGAACTGATTAGAATTAAAGGAGGTAGCTCTGAAACCACACAGACTGCAGGTTGTTTAGAGTTATCTATATCTCCGCAGCAATGTGGGTAAAAACGTCAAACTGCTGTTGAGACTGAGAACGGAGCATCAAGTTAGAATGTTTGTGATGTTTTAGCTTAACACCTGCAAAAAAACCTTGAAGGAGTGTCTATATAAAAAAATTGTTTTTATAGGAATTCTGTAAGTTGCTGGATGTATGTTAATGTTGCATCAATCTTGAAACTGTCAAATTAGTCTATTTTTATTTGTTTATCAAAAATGGAAGCTTTATCCTTATTTGCATTAAAATATATCCATAAGATAAGTTAAGTTAAGATAAGTTAAGAGCAATTTTTTTTTTTTATTACTGGAGAACCAGAACTTCCACTGGATTTTTCTCCAGGAGAAAAATGTTTTATTTGTTGTTTTTTTCAACCTGTTGAAACTCGTTTACTATTAAACTCTTTTCATACTGTAAACATTTGGGTCTTTACTTCAATAGTTTGGGGAAAATAATTCAGTCCAAGTGTAAAGCTCTATGGAACAATATTTTTTTATTTATTTTTTTATTGGGGGTTAAAGAAATAGCAGATTATATAATTTTATTGCTCTGTTAGTTCTTAGGTATACTGCATTTTGACATCCATTTAAGCTAATATAAAATAAAATGTATAACTGTCTTTTCTGAGTTATGACAGAAGCCGTACTATAAAAAAATTATTCTCCATTGTTAACTGAAACTTCACAGCTTTATCAATAATAAAGGTTATTGTAAACAAACCGATCTAAGTGCTGCATTGGGTCATTTTTAACATAAATAAAAAAGACCTTATATGTAATTTTTATTTTATCAAAAAAAATCTATTGAACATTCTGACAACCAGTATTACCACCAACATCTGTGGTGACTACAGAAATAGCACGTAGCTTCCTGATATGTCAGCGGTTTAACCACGTCAGATGTTTCTTAAGGTTGTTTATACTCAAGGGTATTTGTACATTCACAACTACTTTACTCTTTTCTTTGTAACTCTTATAAACTAAATATTACACAGACACCATTATCTTCCAATAGACCTGTTTCTAGTTTCCATGTTATAGCTTTTATTATAGAAAACTTGTTCTCATATTATTTGGGACACAACAAGTAAATTTATAGCAGGAAAAAATATATTCAGGTAATCAGAAGCTGATCATTTATCACAGAAAGCTCACACTCTTATCTTCAGGTAACACAGAGTATATGTCAGACTAAATAATATTACTTCAGCAATAGTTTTAAGGTGTTGCTTTATTGTATGTCTTGTACCATGTCTTTTGGTTGTACTGTTCTTTTTGCATCTCGTTGCAGGTGATGAAGCAGACTAAAAATGTTTTGTCATTGTCTCCTTTCTATATCCTCTTTCTTTCATCTTTTCTCTTTTTTTTCTTGTTTTTCCTCTTCTGTTCTATTTACATTACAGTGTCCATATATTCTGTAAAACTATTAACTATATAACTACTTATTTAAATGACAATTTATACTTAATAGGGAGGAAAAATAATGATAAATGTGAAGGATGTGGAGAGATAGAAAATGTAGAACACGTATTGATGAGAAAAAGTTGAAAGGACAGGCCAAGAATGGAGTCTTAAAGGATTATTGGGAAATAAAGGAAATATAAAAGATATTTATAGATTAAGGAAAGCATTATTTATTTATCTTCAGAATACAAAATTAAATTAAAAAATAGATTTTAATAGATGTAAAACAATGTTGCTACACACTCATGAACAGTAGGTGGCGGAATGCCCGCCCCTTCCCTAGAGCCCGGTGGGACCAAAAACATTTTGAATGGAAATCAATGGGGAGAAATTAATAAACTTTTGGTCCCAGTCGCTCTCTGTCACTGATTCCAGATATGCTGGTTGTGTATTTAAATTGTTTTGGTTTTTTTGAGTTCCTCTTTGGTCAAAATCTGGTCAAAACCCATCAATGAGATCGCACCGAACAGGAAGTTAAATGCACAAACGATCCGGTAGATTTCCAAATAAAACACATCCGATCTTAACCCATGATCATTATGTCAACATTATTTTCTCCCGTATGCCACGACGTAATGCATTGATCTGAAAATCAGCCTCAGACGCAACGCACGCAGTGGCGAGGGTTTGATCCGTCAGATGGAGTTAAATCACAAAGAAATTAAATGTTGAATCGGGGCGGCAGCTAAATGCTAGGCGATGGGTAGCAGCCAAAACGTTGCAATTTCACATAATCCTGAAAAATCTTTGCAAGAAACGAACAAGCAAGTGAATATGTACATTCCCTGAGTAAATATTCTGGCAACAAACTATACATTTCTCACTAGAAATGTAATCAAAACTCATTTTAATGCAAAAATAAACTCAAGTCATTAATCTTTCCACAAAAAAATGAGCGAATGTCGGCCATATATATAGATTTTTTTCTTCTCCCAGCTGGAATCTTGAAAGTCACGTGACTAGGACGTAAAACAATAGAAAGCGTATAGGCAGAAGAAATGTAACAGTACCACAAAAAAATGGCCATTAATGTACCTCCACTACGTTTTGCAGTGTGGACCAACGTAGTGGGGGTACATTTTCCCATGAGACTGGGTTGAATGACAATAAAAGCTGGAGCAAATGTTTAAAAAGAACAGCAAAATGTTACAAACCTCAATGCAAATTTTCTTGCTTTGCCAAGTAGACTGCTATGAAAACTCTCCTTTATTTAAAAAAAAAGATATAAAGGGATTTCTTGGTAGGAAGCAGGTGTGATAAATTCAGCGTGGAATTCCTCTACATACAGAACTACAGACATTTCATTAGTACAAATCATGAGTACCAATCATTGGAAAAATGCAGAAAATACTCGTTTTACTGAAATTTTACTTGAAACAGTCAGGTGATCAGAGATGGTTTGTCTCAGCAGTGAGTTTCTTATTCCACCAGCAAATTTTCACCAGAACTGAAAGAAAAACCTTTTCTGAGTAAAAACAACAATCTTGAGTATTATAACAGATTAAATTAAAATATCCTTCACAATATTTCTATCACTTGACTGCTGGAAGTGTGATATGACATGACATTCATGCAGGGGCAGATTTACAAGTAGGGAAAACTAGCCAGTTACAAAGGGCCCCAAGTTCCTGGGGGCCCCATAAATCTGCCCCTGCATTTATGACTTTAACATTCTTGTTGATAATGCAGAGAAAAGGAGTTTAGTATTTTGTGGAATCAGGTAGTGAATTATAGTCTTTCAGTCATTCTCATTCATGATACCTACCAGCAATAATGCAGGGTATTAGCAAGAGCCGCATGATCAGAAGGATTCGATGTAAAAAAGACAACTCCCACAGGTTTATTGTTTTGCCTCCATACTGGATCTTAAAAGATAAACAGAATCATTTAAACAGACTTCAAGCTGGAGTTATAATCAGAGAAAAAAACAACAACTAAGAAATAATAAAACTCTTGTATCTCGGAAATGTAATTTATAACAAACAGTAGGTACGTTTTGAGATGATTTGGATTTTTACTTGAGTAAAGTATTTTACTTGAAATTCTCCCAATTATCCGAATTTCAATGAATTTTTCTTTAATTGTACTTCATGCTATAGTTCTAATATAGTTTACAGTACCTAGAGTAGAGCACATCGAATCCTGCAGGTCATCCTTTATCAATGAAAGTTCATAAAGTATTATATTTGATTTTATTCTAAATGGGACTTATTGGTTCTAGTTTGATTTAACTATACTTCCTATTAGAATACCAACAAAAATAATGTTCTTAACGTTGATATTTTTATTTAAACAAGCTTTAAAACAAAGTCATTAAAGCCTATAAGTGATGTGTTTCACAATCAAAGTTTTTCATATGAAATTTTAGCTTTTAGTGAATTTTCCTAAAGGAAAAGTCCGATCATATGCAGAATATGAATATGCAGTCACAGATCTGATGCTGTGCATTCCCCTGGACCAACGAGAAGCTGTCTAAGAAGGAATCCTTATAACTAACCTGGTTAGGAGTCGTCAGAGATTGATCGGTGACATTGCACGCCAACCCACCTCTTCAGAAACTCTAAGATTGTCCTCAAACTCTGAGAAGGTTAGTGAACCAGAATTCAACATTGGAAACATTGCCCTCTGTCTGGTCCCTCAACTGTCCAATCTCCTTCCAGAAGTTCCAGTTGCTGACTCTGGTGAATCCTTCCCAACCTGCAGCAATGAACTGTTTAAATGCTAATTGCTGCACCGGGTTTATTTCTGGGTCTGCCATTTTCTCCTCATTCCACCTGAATCTAACACCTGAGCCATAAACAGTAATCTTCCCCCAGGGAACCTGGAGGAAGTCCCTACAATGTAGCATTTTAACAGAAAAATGTCCCCACCATGTAGGAAAAACAAGTTTTAACTAGACATGGCAGATAGCAGGTGACTGATTCCAGATTAATTTTGTCATGGTTTGGCAGTTATCATCTTAAACTATGCCAAATATGGAGAAGCATAAATTTAGATTTACCTTTATCTGGTTAAAGTTCTGCAGTCCTTCCATCACACAGATGAAACTTTCTGTCTCATTGCTGCTTTGTTTGGATATTTCGATGCACTGGTGTTGCTTTTCACCTTGAATCACCCAAACCTCCAACTCTTCTGGTTTCATCTCCAGCTTATCTGCCTCTTTCTGAAATACAAAAAGCAGTTTCACCTTTAATAATCTAATATCCAGATGTTTAAGTGAAAAAATATGTGGCATAAATTGTCTTACTTGGATAGTGATGCGGATATCCTTGCCTTCCCTCACAGCTGTGTAGCTGGTGAACTTTGGGTCAGGATAGTAAACTATTTCTTTTTTACATTTCAATGACTGATTGGCTACTTTCAGAAACACGGGGCTATGCAACATCCCAGCATTTGTTTCTGAGGGAGTTTCATAAATGAGATTCTGAAACATAAATAAAAACATCGCCAGTTTGGGATTAAAGAATCTGAACAGTTCTTGTGACACATTGAGCTTCACTTTATTAGCAAACCTCTCATACAAACGATTACATGCCTCCTCATGAAACAATGTTTTCTGTTTGGTTAATCATATATCTGTAGTTACCTGAAAGCTGCTTTTCCTTAAAGGTATGACTTTCTGCTGGGTGTATTTGTGTGTGATCCCCTCCACCAAGTCTAAGTTCGTCCCAATAAGGGTGAGCTTCCTCTTCCCACTGTAGAACACAAATAGACAGTGAGAGCAGAGGAAAGAGGGACTTTTCCTAACTTCTCATTCTAGGTATTTTAGTACTGAATATAATGTTACCCACCAAACACTTTTATTTACTTATATACTGCTGTGAAAATATCTTTACCAGCTTGGAAATGTGTTTTAGAATTTTTTGGTATAGCTAGTAACATCAAAGATTAAATCAATTAATGGACAAAATACCAGAACCAATTTACCCTTGTGTGAACAAGTAACTGCAATCAAAACCCAGAAACTGGTTGAGGCACACAACAGTCAAACATTTATGATATTGAAGTAGCTATTTTTAATATCATCAGAGAAAAAAAAAATCAAAACTCCTCTAAGTAGATTAGTTTTGATAGCATTAAAGTTTTATTCAAGCATGTTTAAGGTTAACACCACCATGCCTTAGTCAGATTAATGCTGCTTTCCATTTCGCAAAACAACAATGCTTTGTGCGGAGAGCTCTCCATGCAAAGCATTATGGGATTTGCTGTCACAGTGGCCCGCTGTCGCATAACTAATAACAAAGATGCCGCAGGCACCCCGCGGTGGAGGAGGAGTTACATGACCAACGGGGAGCAAAAAGCAGTGGTCTGAACGGTCAGTTAAATGAGTTCACTATAAAGTTCACTATATAGTCCCCACCTCTAATAGTTATGGAGGGATTTAGGGCGAACGTTTGGACACAGTAAGATTCTATGAGCAATGAGAACAGCAACTTTTAAATGTGCATGAGGAGAAATGGGATCATGCATGCTCTCACAAGCGCATTTTTTATAAGTGGATAGGGCGGTTCTTTTGAAAGATATTGCAAAATTCCTTCAAAATACCTTTAAAAAAGGTGGAAAAACTATGATTAAAAAACCCCTGAATAAATAAAGCCAGTAGCGCTCATTCAGTAGATCAAGGTGCAGGGTTGAATAGCTTGCAATATGTGTACAGAAAAGCTCAAAGCAGCTGATCTTTATAAATGTTGACAATGCTTTTATTCCTCCAAGATGATAACTCAGTCAAAGATCTAAACATTAAAGCAAAAAGAGAAGCTTCATTTGCAGAGATGTGACAAACCACAACATGAGGAACAGCTTTTTGTAAGACGGAGGGAGGGACAGAAACATCTAATAATGCTGTGGAGAGCAAGTGTGCAGCCTTCTCTACATACAGAGAAAAACTATGAATCCATATTTTGACTTGGAAGCAGCTAAACGTTCTATTACATAAAAAATCTAACACATCTCAGTTCCCCCTTAAACCAGGGGTAAAGGTCAAACCATTTCAATAAATGCTCTGATAAAGACTAGCTTTGTGACGGTTGAGTTACTTCTGGTTTACAAGTTAAGTTGGTCCAATATAAGATTAGTGTGTTAACATTTTAATAGGTAAAAGTTTAGATTTATGCAACTGTAAATAAATTATGTTCACATCTGACAACATGTCAGTGCATAGTGTTCTACTGCTTCTGGAATTGGTGAAGGTAAATATTTTGTTTTGAAAATTTAAATACCTCGCCCAGGTGCTTGGTGGTACAATATCTCTGCAGACTGGTGATGACTGATACGTTATTGTAAGATGGCCATGGCAGCTTCCATCCGGTAGTAGGACACAGACTTTGAACATGCCTTTCTTTTCTGTACTGGGAATGTGGAACATCAGACTTGACCCACTGTTGCTCAACACAGGAGATCTGAGGAGAAAGCACAGGGAACCAGAGAGAGAAAAACTGTTAAAACCATAAACATGGATGAGAGCCAACATTGAAACACAGCCATAAAACTGACCAAAGTACATCATATGTCTCTGAAATAGGAGACGTTACTTCAGCTTGTGTTTTTCTTGCATATCTAATCATGGGTCTTAAAAGGAAATAGAAGACCTTTCCCGCACAACAGATAGTCTACAAGTGGAGGACAATCAAATCAAACACCAGTAAGCCCAGCTTTGGCTGTCAAAGCGAGTTCAACCCAAGAGTCTCCAAAAACAATAGCAAAAATGCTCTTGCTAGACTTCAGCCTCTGTCTCAAAGAAAATAACACATTAGCGCATGTTTTTCAAACATGGGTCGGCCCGCTAACAATCAGTATTTGGCTCCCTTCCCATTGGCAAAAAAAGCTTGCTCTAACCCTTCGCTGGTAGCTGCATATCTGGTGACACCATTGAGTTGGGTTAGCGTTGATGATGTCACCAGTCTGACAGAAATCAGGAAAGTAACCATGGGCGGTTTCTCAATGCACAAGAACGCGAGTACGGACTCATGTTCTCGCCAAGTATGTTCTTGACAAGAACACAGGAAAGTCTGGACTCTGGGAGAACGCGGCATAAATATGGGTCAACTGGAACATAAGCATACTGATGACATCACCAAACGCTCAGTTCATCTGGAGCTGCATTTCATCTCATGTTATTGATAGTTTCTAGATCAGAGGTCACGGATTAGCGGACATCCGTCCAGATCCGGACCCACCTGCTGGTTATTTCGGACCCAACCTGATTGAAAACATTTATAAATTACCACATCTTGTCTGATGACAGTGTCTAACTGCTTCTCCTGAAGTAAATTCTGTAACAGATTATAAATAAAAATGTTGTTAATGGTTGTTGCTTTTCTTTATTCGGACCCCGCTGATTTTTAATTGGTTACCCCAGGTATAGCAGGTGCTTTTGCAAAAACCAAACAACACAGCGGAAGAACAACGTCATTTTGGCAGCAGTAAAGTACAGAACGACCACTCCTTTGTATCACAGCCCATGTTGTCCTGAATCCTGACTCTGGTCACATCTCTGAGGTTATGACCTGACAGCACAGCATGATTTCTGCCATAGAAAGACACAACGCTGGGAGAAATGGAGGAGATCTCTGGTTTCTAAGGGGAACACAGAAAATACAGCTGTTACTCATTATATATGACTAATATTCAAAGTTTATAAAGTGAGCACATAGATCAGCAAAAATTAGAACTCACAAAAAAGTCTTTCCCAAACTCCATGTTTTCACAAATGCTTTCCTTCAGGAAGAAAGAGGTGAAAAAATGTCCTGTGAGGCTGTTATTAGTCCAGTTTAATAAATTCAAGACTTAAAAAGTAGGAAAAAAAGGTTTATTTAACATACAAAACATACAAAATGGGACTCTATGTTTATTTTAACCAAGCATTAATAAATTGTTCATCAATACCTTCTGGATTGGATCACTGCCCCAGGAGCAGCGGTTCTGTCTCCATCCACAGCCGGCTCTGATACATCGCTGACACCTGAAGAGAAAACAGTCACAGAAGTAAAACATTATGATACATTATTTTTGAAATACCAAGGTTCTAACACTCAGTCAGTGATTATATTGTAAGACGCACTAATCCAGTTCATTGAGTGAAGAATGAAGCTTCTCAGACTGTTTCTTTTTAGGTGCAGCAGAAAGCAGATTAATTTACCAACCAGTCATTGTCAGATTTAAATACCAGCTCTAACATCTTTTTTTAGGGAAATACTGGAGTTAAATCAAATAGTTTGATTGTGGGATTATATCAGATGTAATTGTGATTTATGTTTTTTTCTTGAATGTTAGTAAGGTTAAATATTAAAGTGTGCCGGTTTTTCTTGCTAAATAATGGTGATTAGTGAGAAGCTATTGTTCCATTCTTTATGCTGAGATGTAGGGAAAGGAAGTAGGTTTGAAAAGGAGTTTCCTCCCTAGGTTAGATAAGTGGGAAACATAGATAAACAGGTCCTTATTGTGTTTAAGATCCTCACGTCCTGTCTCTGGTGTGAACGAAAAACAGCTGTCTGAAATGTTTATCTGAACATATATTTATGTCTTTTGATCAAGTGTTTCTCTTGGAAAGACTCAATGTTTGTGTGTCAGGAGTCTTTATAATGCAAAGGTGGGGCAGGACCTAGTCAGAATCACACAGGGAGCTATCTTTAGCTGTTCTCTGTCGTTCTCCTCTGCAAAGCGGAATAAAACTTTTTCTTCCTTGCAAATCATCTCCCGGTGCTAATTTTTACTCCAAATAATTATCCCATATTTCCTGTTTCCTTTCTAAAACCAAATGCTCCTATGATTCTCTGTTAGCTCTAACATTGTCTAAGCTAAGTCTGGCCTAGAAAGTCTGGTCCGCCAGACTGACAGACAACAACACTGGAAGATAGAGTATAAAGGCCTAAAAACATTGGATTGAAACGATGCTTTACAGTACTGATGCTATGAACACTGATCACCAAAGATAATCATCAAACTCTGATTAATAATGTCTATATTATCCAGGTCTATGCACAGTATTAAACATTAATACAGCAGCTGTTCTAAGACATCTCTTTGGTAGACATCTAGTCTTTAGCTCGTCTTACCATAGCTTTGCAGGTATAATATTATGTAGATTTCTACAGAAACGTTTAACTTCCTACTTAAATTAGTTTCTTAATACATAAAGAAACTTACAGGTGAAAACTTGCTTCCCCAGTGATATTTGAACAGTTGGATATCTTTATTTGGTCTGCCAGGATTGTTCCTCCAAGTCTGATGTTTATATCGACATGAAGATCTGTAAATCCAAAAAAATAAGGCATTTTAATAAGACTCTCAGTATCTAGAACAAAACATTAAAAGACTGCCTGACCGTCATGACCATCAGTTGGAAGAGAGTCCTTTAGAATGCAGGTGCATTGTGGGTACTGTGGTTGTGGTCCAGTTTCTTTACAAAGTTTGGTGGAAGATGTAGAGAACTGACAGGCAAAGTTATACTGAACCACCTGCTTCAGGGTCAGATGTGTCTGAATGCTTAGTTTGATCTGAGAGAAGAAGAAATAAAGTAGACGAATAACTGGCGGTTCCATCTGAACACAGTTAGTAATGTATTTATAGCCCACCTCTCCTGTGGAGTCCTGCATAACTATGTGAGAAACTATCTTCTGCTTGGATTCATCAGGGATGGAAAACCACTCTCCATCTTTGCAGTCTCCTTCAAATTTACATCTGAAAAATTTTTAAAGTGTCATCACCAAGTTCAGATCTGTCTGAAGGATTCAGCAGCAGGTGACGTTTCTCTGACCTTCCTTCAGTCAAACACCAGACACAGAATGGATCCTGAGCAGAAAGACAGTCCTTCACATGTTGGTGAGCGCCGCAGTTTGACACCGGAACATGCTTCACCTGGAACAGAGCACCATGTTTCAGACACACCTTAACATTCAACACAGAGAAACGTCCCATGAAAAACTCCAATCTACCTGGTTTTTGAACGCCACATACACATGTTTCTGATCCACGGGATCCAGATGGATTTTAGGAAACACTCTGTTGTCTCCACTGGTTCTGTAGAGGATCTTTGGACAGGCGGGCTGATAGTTCCTGTCTACTGCAAGCTAACAACAACAAAATAATGTAGGTGACAGTTACAGCATTTACCGTAGTTAAGAAATTGATGGATGGATGGATGGATGGATGGACGGACGGACGGACGGACGGACGGACGGACGCAGACTTTTGGACATGTAACCAGGAGACAACTGCTAACGCATTCCATGTATGTCCCACATCTTCATCACTGATAAAGAATCAACACAACTGCAATCTACACAGTTCAACCACAATGGGAGATTAGACACTTCAAACTGTAAACTAAAATTAAGCAAACCTTCATTATAATCACTGAGATCTCAATCCTCGATGTTTATAGACATAAAACAATAAAAATAGATGATGTAATGGAAAATGAAAAAAGTCATAAAACAGTAGAACAATGGAATTTCTTTTGAAATAAAGTGCAAATAAATGTCAATAACAAAGTTATTGTTGAAAGTAGACCACAAGGAGCTCAGTTTGCAGAGAAAACAACCGACAAGTGAAGAATGTCCTTTGGTCAGATGAAAGAAAGAAATAAAAATGCTACATGAGGCCAAAAAAGCATGGGGGTGGTGGTATTATGCTATGGTAATGCTTGAAAGGGTTGACTATAATGTCTGTTTTAGCAGATGAAACTGTACAGGCCACAAGCTGATCAAGGTTATTTCCAGTGTCTGCTTACCTGCATTGCCTAACTACACCCACAGGAACACTCCGCTAATGACTCACACACAGATGGTGGCTGCAGACACAAGCATCAGTACTGCGCACGCAAAAGGACGCAGTTTTCTATTTTTCAGAACACCACTCATTGAATGATTAGGAGCATGTCCACATTAAGGTTTGTCTCTTGGAATGTGCATGGAGCTGAGTCCAAAGAGAAGAGATTAAAAATAGCTTATTAATTAAAGCTTTTGCAGGCAGACATCTCTTTACTACAGGAGACTCATCTGTCTGCAGCCGATGCTCTGACCATAGTAGGGTTTTGTGGAGTTAAGGCCAATTTATGCCTCTGATGCATATCCTCTGCTACCGTCAAATCTGCCTCTGTGCATGACCACGGCCCTCACGCAGAGGTTCTGCAACCTTTGTCACACACCTCAAAATAATCCTGAGTACACGTCAGATGGTCGCAAACCCGCGCAGACCTCAAGCGGAAGTGCGCAGACAAAAAGCAGCTATGATTGGTCCTTGGTATGCCTTTACAGTTGTTTGTGTGGTCGTTCTTCTCGATTCTGTGCCATTGAGGCGTGCCATTTTTAAAAACCGAGAAACAACTATATGGGAAAAATTACTCCCTCTATAATACATCTGAACCAAACAGGTTCTATTAAAGAAAGACACTCATCCACAAATATGAGCAGGTTAATTAATCTTATGAATTTTTCCACCATCAACAGGGTTGAAACTAGTGTTGCACCGATACCGATACCAGTATCTGGCAGGGCCCTGATCCAGCGCCAAAATGGAGGTATCGGTGAGTACCAACAAATAGGGCACCAACGCCATTTTGAGAGCCAAAAGTTTCTTCAACTTTTGTCACCCATTCCAGGTAGGCAATAAAAAGTTCTACTGGATTCACTTTGTTTTAGTCTTTTTCCTGCTTCACAAAGGAAGGCAGCAGCTTGACAAAACATGATGGCAATTATTTTACATCCAAGTAGGATGCAGGTCTTCAGATATACACACACATCAATTTCAAACAGATGGTATCAGTATTGGCCAATATTATACAGCCAGGTATTGGGTATCCGATCGGAGCCAAAAAATGGCATCAGCACAACACTAGTGGAAACTATAATATTGTCGAAAAAGCATTTGATCGAGTTAACAGGAAATTCCTGTTTGCAACCCTAAACAAATTTGGGTTCAGATCAAACTTCAATGACTGGATAAGGATACTATATAGTTCCCCAAATGCATGTGTTAAGAATAATCATTAAACTTTTCCAAGCTTTAGTCTACAGAGAGCGACCAGGCAGGGCTGCCCCAATGTACAGAGCATAAAATCAGTCTTTATGCAAATGATGTATTACTCTTCCTCCACATTCACAGGCATCTGTCAGTCGTATATATAAATCAGTTCTTAACACTTTCTGACTATTCTGTGAACTGGTCTAAGTCCACAGCTCTGTCTATTAACTGTAGCTTCCAGAATTGTTGGATTAATTCCACATGAGTTATTCTACTTTAATCATATTATTATGCTTACACACTGTGATCATATTATTATACTCACACATTTTGTTATCCTTATTTTACTTATATCATAAAGAGTGTTGAAATATTTTACTTGCTTGCTCTGTACTAATGTTTTAAGTCTGTGCAGACGGAGTGCAGATTGTGAGAGCTGGCTGCTGAAGGTCAGCCGGTTCAAGGAAAAGAACACGGGGAACTGCACGCACTAACACCGGAGAAAGGAGTGAAAGCTCTCCTTATCTTATGATACTGTATGATGTTATGCAGACTTCTGGTTCCGACTGGGTTTCACCCCCTCCTCCCTTTTAGCAGTCGGAACCACATTGTAGCCAGGGCGTTCCTTAATAAAGGCTTGGTAGAAGCGGAGACTGTTTCAGAGTGTTTTGGAGAATTGTAACTGAACAGTCTCTGATCACTCTCCTTGCAAGTAAATCATACTAAATTCTCTGTGTCTTTCTTTGTACAGGTTACTGAATAAAATGTTTGGTGTTTAAACCTAACATTAATTGGTCCTTCGAGCCGGATTGCAAGATACCCGACGACCCCCAGCAGGTGAGTGAGATCCAGATAAGCCTGCGGCCGCAGCTAACAGACCCTTTACGGGACTGGTCTCTCCCTTACAAGCTGGGGTCCGACGGTTTTTCGAGGACGCAGAGAATTGTGAGTAGTTTTTCTTTTAATAAGGAGTGAGTGAATTATTGGAAGAAAAATATATAAAAATATAAAAAATTTATAAAAATATAATAATATATATATAAAAAAAAAAAAAAAAGATAGAAGTGAAGGACAGCGAAGTCCTCTCAGTGTGGGATAACGAGATTCCCTTTTGTACTAAAACCCTGACAATTCTAGACTATCAGGTAAAATAGAAATTTTAAAACAGTTAAAGTCCGCGGGAGGGCAGGCTCCCCTAGTTTGTAAGGGCAGGCTCCCCGAGTGGTAAACTAGTTAAATTCTGCGTAGGATGGCGGCGTCCTCTGTGTTAAAAATAAAGTAAAAGTTAACTGCGCAGTGTGTATGTGAGTGTGTGTGTGAAAGGAAATATAGATATCACTAGATATCTGTATTTCATACCAAAAAGACAAGGGTTAAATGGTGAGCTTTTGTGGATGTTTGTAGACAAGAAAACTCCACCTGTAAAGGTTGAAGTGAGTTTTACCACAAAAAGTAGTTGATCACCATCTTGTCTGAAGCCCCAGTGTTTAGAACACACCAGGTGTTGAAAACCCACTGGGCCCAAATTTAGTTCAAAATGGGAAAAAGGGCAAAGTAAAGAAAAACAGAAGTTATTAGAGAAACTCCAGTGCAAAGATTGGAAAGCAGTTGAAAATGATGACCCATCGGCGGTAGAGCCGTTGTGTTACTGGATAAAAAACTACGGTTTTAATGGCAAATTGAGCACCACAAACATTAAAGAATTGCAACAAAAAATAAAAACAAAAAGCAAAAATAAAGACACTTTGATGGCAAAAGAAGGTTACATGCAAACCATGGTCTGGATGAAATTAGCAGGACAGAGAGAAGAGGGAAAGCGTAGAGTTAAGAGAGAGAGAGGAGAGACAAAGAAAAGCAGTAGAAGGAATTCCCTCTCCAAAGAAGGATGTGGAAGAATGTGTAATTCAAGAATGGGTAAATCGTCACCACATAGAGATGAGTGGTGCAACACTCCAAAAGTATATAAATCACGCCCTGCATGCAGAGAAAGTCATAAAAAGTAAAAAGAATCACAATAAAGAATCCACTGTGTTTTATCAGGAGGAAGAGGACACTGTGTTTTATCAGCAGTCCAGAGGTAGGGGCCGAGGCAGAGGCCGAGGCCGTGGAAGGGGAAGAGGTTTTGGATCACGCTCAACTGATAATTCCAGAGCGTGTTGGTCATGTGGGAAAGGAGGCCACATGGCTAGAGATTGTCGAAAAACCCACAAAATGCAGGAAGCTCAGCATGACTAGATGAGCAACCATTTTCTATTAGAGAGATAGAGGGTGAAAATATGGATGTCTTAAACCTAGAAGATTTGTTTTTTAAAAGAAAAATATAGACCAGAAAAAGTTCTGATGGTCCAGGGCACTCCTGTTAAATTTTGTGTGATACAGAAGCCTGCAGAACCACAATAAAAGAACCCATACCCTTGCACATACCCATCGTAAAGATGATTTAACTGTAGGTCCATATTCAGCATTATTACAGCAAGCACAAGCAGCTGCACAAGCAGCTTTACAGCAAGACCCAAATGAACTTGGTGCTGCTGCTGCTTCTGCCCCAGTCTTGCCAGCTCCTAAAGTTGAGAATCCACCAGCTTATTCTCCTATGCCCAGCACCTCCACAAGGGTTACCCGTTCTGGGGGACCTGTGGGGGCTTGGTCAAAAGATATGGGGGGAGGCTTAATCTCCCCACTGCCAGCCCCTGAACCCAAACCTGAAATTGAGTGTTTCCTTTAATTGAGCTGCCAAATCCTTTGGCGGGTCAGGGGCCAGCTGAAAATCAATTTTTTCCTGTCATGATGGTCTATAGGCAGGGGCGGATTTAGGAAATTTGGGGCCCTGGGCATGGATGGGCAGGGGGCCCCCTGACAAGAAAACCTATAAAACAGTCCCATTCTACAGATAGAGAAATGTTAATAAAATAGACATTCATTATTTGTTCTAGGTTTAGTCCCTCTCTTCTTGTTCCTTTTTCCTCTCTATTTATCAGCCTTCTGATGGCATTTTAGCAAAAGCATTTTTATCAAAAACATAATTAATATGCACAAATAAGGATTAGTTGTATTAACAATACATGTGAATAGCACCCCAACAGTTTTCCTGTGTGACAGTGGTGCA